GAGCGAAACTCTGTCTCAAAAAAAAAAAAAAAGAACAAAGAGCCGTATTTACAAACACAGGAGTTATTTATTGATTTATTTATGCTCCTTTGTGCTCCAAAAAAGGATTTGAGGTAGCTTACCAAAATACACACAATATAGTGGGATAAAAATAGTAAGGGATAGAGCAGAGGGGAAACACAGGTAGAAAAATGAAATAAAGCCAGGGAAGATGCTAGTACATGGAAACTTACGCTCAAAGTCCCTGAACAAGTTTGGCTCTGAGCTTCCTCATGAACAAAGTGGGAAACACGATCAGTTACAAAAGGTATAGTAGTCATAGAATAAGAATATCAGCATGCCAGGGGAGGCCGCAGAGTTTAGCTTGGCACCAACATCTGGTAGAAATTTCTTCTCATCAAAAGGATGCTGTGGGGTGGGCCAGGCATAGTGGCTCATTTCTGTAATCTCAGTACTTTGGGAGGCCGAAGCAGGTGGATCACCTGAGGTCAGGAGTTTGAGACCAGCCTGGCAAACATGGTGAAACGCCGTCTCTACTAAAAACACAAAGATTAGCCAGGTGTGGTGGCGCATGCCTGTAATCCCAGCTACTCAGGAGGCTGAGGCACAAGAATCGCTTGAACCCAGGAGGCAGAGGTTGCAGTGAGCCAAGTTCATGCCACTGTACTCCAGCCTGGGTGACAGAGTTGAGACTCTGTCTCAAAAAAAAAAAAAAAAAGAGGATGCTGCGAGGTAGAGTGGTCTGCATATTCAACAATATTTAGAGATCCTTTTATTTTCATGTCACTGGCTGTCTAATTCAATTTCATGTGGATTCACTGCCTATGATTTGATTTACATTAGCTAAAAACAATACCAGTGAAATAGAAAGCACATTCTTTTCCTCTGTCTGCTGCCTGCCTGCCTTCCTTCCTTTCTTCCTTCCTTCCTTCCTTCCTCCCTTCCTTCTTTCCTTTTCTTTCTTTTTGCATGGTAATACGAGGTTGGGTGCAAGGAGTGGTATGTGAGTTTTCCCCAGTGAAGTATGTGGACAAAAAAGTTCTAGCATCTTGGCTTAGCTGAAATGTATAAAACTCACGGAGACATAAAACTGTTCCAAGCAGGCCATAAAGGCGCTGCTGCCTTTGCTCAGAACTTGGGCTATAATCTGCTGCCCTGGAACAAAATTCAAACATAAATCAGCTTTCACAGTATTTTTAACCACCTACAAAATTCTTCATTTCCTGCCTGAAATGCTTCTGACAGTGAACGATACCACTCTCCCTCACTCTTGCTCTGAAAAGGTTCCCTTGAGGCAGTGATGGGGACCCCACACTGGGCCCCACCGCTCAGGAAAGGCCAAAAGGAGGCATGGGATAGAGAAAATGGTCTCCCAGGGTCTCTAGGACAAATAAGCCAGGGATGTGGCTAGAGAATTAAGTGCTTTTGTGCAAAGTTGGAAAGGGCGCCCCCTCTTGGCACAGGAGGTCCTGTGGTTTCCCACCTGGGATGCCCTCTCCCGCATCTTCACTTGACACAATCTCTTCTATCCTCCTGGACCCATAGCCTCCACAAAGCCACCCCCAAATACCTACCCCATTCTCTTTTTTCTGCACTCCTAATGCATCAATAGTGAGTACCAGACAGCTGGCATTTAATTATATGACGCCTGGCATGCACTATTTCATGTTGTCAGTCTGTCTCTCTAATTAGATTAAGGAGATCTTGAGGGTAATCATTAGTTCTTACTTTATATGTCTCCCTTACAGCTAACGAGGGAGCTTTATGTCTCGGTACCTTACAAATAACAAGATCATAAAAAAAAGGAGCCTAGGGTTTCTGTCTCGTTCTCCCCACTGTACCCATTGTGCAGACAAAAACGAAAGCCAAGGCCGGGCGCGGTGGCTCATGCCTGTAATCCCAGCACTTTGGGAGGCCGAGGCAGGTGGATCATGAGGTCAAGAGATCGAGACCATCCTGGTCAACATGGTGAAACCCCGTCTCTACTAAAAATACAAAAAATTAGCTGAGCATGGTGGCGTGTGCCTATAATCCCAGCTACTCAGGAGGCTGAGGCAGGAGAATTGCCTGAACCCAGGAGGCAGAGGTTGCAGTGAGCTGAGATCGCGCCATTGCACTCCAGCCTGGGTAACAAGAGCAAAACTCCGTCGCAAAAAATAAATAAATAAATAAATAAATACAAAATTAGCCAGATGTGGTGGCGCATGCCTGTAATCCCAGCTACTTGGGAGACTGAGGCAGGAGAATCGCTTGAACCCGGCAAACAAAGGTTGCAGTGAGCTGAGATCGCACCACTGCACTCCAGCCTGGGCAACAAGAGCAAAACTCCATCTCAAAAAAAAAAAAAAGAAAGAAATTTGAGAGCCAAAGAAGAGGCTTGACCTGCCCATGGTCATGCAGTGAGAACTTGACCTAGCCAGGAACGACCCCAGTTCTCCTGTCTGCCAGTGTGGTCTTCTACTTCCTTTAAACACTTAGCTCTAAACCCCCCAAATGGGAGGTTCAGAAGCACAACTCCCCGGGGTAATAAAGACAGACAGACAGACAGCTGGCCCACAGTAATCCATCTGCTCGTGGGCAGAATTTCCAACGCAGAGCCAAGCCAAGCTGCTCTAAGGCTCAGCAAACAGCCTCCAGGGGAATCCAAGCTGGGTTTCTGTACATGCCAGGGGGATGAAAGGACCTCAGTGGGGTACCTAGGGTGCCTGCATCTGACCTGACACCACGCAGGCCACTATTGTCTGCGATGCTTGGGGCAAAGGAAACTCATAATTGATGGTCTCAGCGGGAAGGACACATAGGTGGAGAGGGCATCTCCTGTTTACGGAGAGATGCTTGTGTTTGCTAGGGGCTGTCTTTTGCAGTGAACTACCCACCCTTGACAGCAGGAAACCACCAAAGTATTTGCCCCAAATTTATAACAACAGAGACTACACAATAGTGCTAAAGCTGACAGAAACCGAAAACAAAATAATAACAAAAAATACCAATGGCAACAATTTCTAAGCAAAACCCTATAATGACAAGCTGGCAGCAGGCTCATCAGTCCTGCTGAGACTCTCCTGGGCACTCACAAGTCACAGTACCCACCACTTAGTACTTCTCGCAAACACCCTATGAGTTTCACATGATGTGCTCGTTTTATAGATGTGGAAACTGAGGCTTAGGGAGCTGAAATGTCTTGCCTCACATCACAGGCTGCTAAGAGGCAGAGCTGGGATAGGCATCCAGGTTGATCTCCCTCTAAAAGCCTCCCCTTGCACTATAACCCACATAGACATAGACTCTCATTCCAACCCCATTTCAAATATTTCATCCCATTAGCAGACCTGTGGAACAAGGTTTGTTTGGGAAAATATGAGGCTCTTCAGGGAGACAGACAACAGACTGCCCATCATTTCATGGGGGAATGGGATCGATAAGGGGTGCACCCAGATCTCTGTGGCTTTTTCTTGGTGCCAAACAAATGCAGAAGGAGCCACTTCTTAAAGAACACAGTGTTTTTCTTCCTCTTCTCACCTCCCCTGGGCTGGTGCCTGTGATAATTGGGAAGCAAAGAGTCTGTTTTTTCTGGGATTGGAACCAATGCTGTGAAGAGTGCTCTGACAATAAATGTTGTTGATTGACAGTTGATGGACAATGTTCTTGAATCAGTTTTTCCTGTGCTGGGTGGTAAGCTGAGAACTGCACTAAACAACTGCTCAGTGGCCTGCTTCCCGTTCAGATAGAATTTACTACACGCTCTCTCTGTGGGTCTCAGTCAGGCAGCCAGGCGAGATGGTATCTCAGGCCCCTTCCAGCTCCATCACTCAATGACTCTATCAAGAGGAGAACACAAATCTGAAAACAGTTTTTTCCCCCAAACCTTGGGTTGGGGTTATTATTCACACACAAAAACCCAGGCACCAACAGAGAGATAACCAGGCAGGAAATAAGGAGCTTTGATTCTGGTCTCAGCCTCTTTGACCTAATAATTCTACTTACGTGATTTTATCTTGAAGAAAGAATCCAGAAGAACAGAGCTGTGTACACGAAAATGTTTGCTTTGGCAACAATTGGAGTTACTGTCAATAAAATGACATCCATTGCAAGAACGGGAGAGACTCAGTGCCACATGCCGCCACTGCAAATGATGATTTCAAAGACGCGGAAAAACGTTTCCGTTTTCTGCAGCGTTTTCAAATTGCAGTTCACCCTCCATTAAGGGGTCATGAATTAAACCTAAGAGGTCTCCTGCCATCAGCTTGTTTTTTTAATTAAATAGGCTGGAACAGAAATAACACAGTGCATCACAGGCGGTAAAGGTACTTACTGTGAAACTTTGGTTTTGGTTTCATCAGTAACTGGGCCACGGTATAAAATATATTTTTTATCGCGGGGTCACAGCCAAAATATTTCAAAGGCCGTGGGTTTACTGTGTACAGTAGAGTAGGATTACAACGGTGTAAAATACTGTGTGTGAGGCCAAGCCAGAGAGGAATAAACAGAAGCAAAGAGGAACTGATAAGGTGGTAGAAGGATGCTGCTTCTCAGTTATATGTTTTCTGTGCTGTTTGTAGGCTGTAATTACAATAAAACAAACCCAAATAAAAGGGCAAGAAATCAAGACACAAAGGAGGAATAACAATAGAAGGCCATTATCAGATTCCATAGGCCAAGGAACTCGGGGCTCCAGCACAGGCCTTGAAAGACGGACAGAAATTGAATTGGGGGCGTGGCCTGAAACACAAAACACACTGAAAGAGAATATGGGGTTAAAAAAGGGTCTCAGTGATCAAAGCGGCTTAGAACTGGGGAAGAAAGGGGCAGGTTCACTCCCGGGCAGTCCCTTGTGCCTCCCTGTACCGAATTTTCCTCCCTCCATCCACCTAGGCTGGGACCTCAAGCTAGATGTTGCCCCTCATAAATATGGCCGCACCAAGCCTGCCGCGCCCCTCAACAAGATGGCGACGAGAGCAGCCTCACCTCCCGCTGTCTCGACGGCCAATGAGGGAGAAGCACGAAGACTTGAGCATGCGCGTAGCTACCTGGTGGGCGCGTCCAGTGATGACTGGGGGATCCCGACAAGTAACATGACTAAAAAGAAGCGGGAGAATCTGGGCGTCGCTCTAGAGGTGAGGGGAGAAGTGGGGTTTGGGCGACCTCGTCAGTTGCCTTCTCTTGGCCGCGGGGTAAGGGCTGGGCTGGGCTATAGGTGGGAGGAGGAGCCAAGTGGAGGAAGAGAGGGCAACGCGGCTTGGGGAGAGGGACGCGAGGGGTCAGAAGGCCCTGGGGGTTCCCGGAGGCGACGGAGCCCAAGGGGGTACCGGATGGGCGAACCAGACCCGAGGGCTCCTCCAGAGAGGAAGAGATATGGAAGTGAAGGGGAGCCCCAAAGACGGCCTGGCACAGAAGTGCGGGGACTCAAAGCGGGGGACACAGAACAAAAGGATGGGTACAGAGGTGAGGGAGACCGCAGGGAAATAGGGACCTGTAGATGAGGGGAACTCTAAAGGGCTAGGACGCAAAGATGAGGAAGCCCATTCTGGTGTATATTACTAATGGTTTAAATATCCTCTAAAAGAGGAAATTTTTCCTCCAGAGTGTTGAAGCTTATATCTTCAAAATTACTTTGGGAATATTACAAGAGAATTCTGGAATTGGTGGTGTAACTGAACGGCTTAAAACTAATTTGCTGCATATAGAAGGGAAAGAAAACATGCATATTGAACAACTGCTATATGCTGCTTTCATTGCATTCTCGGTTCACCCTCACTGCAAGCCTGTGAGGTTTCAGGTGGAATCCAGGCTCAGATGGTGGAAGTGGTGGAGCTGAGAATCAAGCACAGGTGGTCTTCCTGGAAATACATCTTGCTTTCTGTTTCCCTTCCCTTAGCGCATCCTCCCAGAGGTTGCAGGAGACGTACAGGGTAACAGTCTTCAGGCTTCACTAGTGAGTTCAGTGATCATCAGATTTTAGCATGCATAGAGTCACGAGGTTTGTTATAAATGGAGAGTTGAACTCTTCCCACGCCCCAAGTAAATCGGTAGGACTTTGTGATGTGCATTCTTAACAAGGAATCTGCATTTTTTAAAGAGTCCCGCACTATTGCCGAGGCTGGAATGCAGTGGTGCGATCTGGGCTCACTGCAACCTTTGCCTTTCGGGTTCAAGTGATTCTCATGCCTCAGCCTCATGAGTAGCTAGGATTACAGGCATGTGTCACCATGCCTGGCTAACTTTTGTATTTTTGTAGAGACAGGGTTTCACCATGTTGGTCAGGCTGGTCTTGAACTGATCTCAAGTGATCTGCCAGCCTCAGCCTCCCAAAGTGCTGGGATTACAGGCACGAGCCACCATGCCCGGCCAGAATCTGCATTTATTTTTTAACAAGCCACCAACACCCCGTGGTGATGCAAGTAATTTTACTAGCACCCCCTGAGAAATACTTGCCTACTTGTTAGGAAAAAGGCTGATGGAAATGTGAAGAGGAGGGTTGATGAGTGGTGAAATAAGATGGTACTGTGTGGCGGGAGGAACACAGACTTTATAACCTGTATTAGGATACAATAAGCTGCAGTAACAGAGAAACCCCAAAATTCAATGGCTTCTAGAACAAGGAAGTTTGAGAGTTTTGTTTTTTTTTTCTAACAGGCTAGCGCAAGGGGCAGCAAATGTAAAGCAGTGGGAAAAAATTCAAGTCACCTGAGGTCCATGCTCCCAGCTAAAGTCGAACAGATGATGCCCTGCCTTGTTTCAGCTGTCTTATAAACAAGGGTCCTTATTGTGGTCTATTTAGCGCCCTGTTTTTTGCATTCTCAAGCTTTTTATTGTAGATTTTGCTGTTTTGTTTTTGAGACGGAGTCTCATTCTGTTGTCCAAGCTGGAGTGCAGTGGTGTAATCTTGACTCACTGCAACGTCAACCTCCTGGGTTCAAGCAATTCGGCCCCCTCCCATTCCCCACCACCGCCTCCCTAGTAGCCGGGATTACAGGCGCCTGCCACCCTGCCCAGCTAATTTTGTATTTTCAGTAGAGAGGGGGTTCACCATGTTGGCCACGCTAGAGCTCCTGACCTTAGGTGATCTGCCCACCTTGGCCTCCCAAAGTGCTGGGATTACAGATGTGAGCCACCACGCCTGGCCTGATTTTGCTGTTTGAAGTGCCCCCCAGCCCTCTCCAAGCATAAGTGCTGTTGGCGTTCCTAAGTCCAAGAAGGCTGTAATGTGTTGTAGAAGAAAACAAGTTTCTTAGACAGAGTGTCCCGGCATGATATAACTCTTGATGTAACAGCACTGTATGTGTTGTTGGTTGTCAGGTCCACTGTTAATTAAGCAACAATATATATTAAATAAGGTCACTTTAAACATAATCTCACATAAAACAAGGTTTTGTATGGATCAGTTGCAAAATGCTGTGTCCAGAGGCTTGCGGGAACCTAACCTCGTTCGGAATTTGCTAATTCAGTGTTGGAGGCAACTTTATAGGACACAGCCACCAGGAATAACAAGAACCAACTGTACTCGGGCTAAGTAGTATGTAAATGAACAATATGTAAATGAGTGGGCGTGTCAGTGTCCACTAAAGCTTTATCTACAAGAACAGGTATTAGATCTTTTGGCCACAGGGCTTAATTGCCAACTCCTGGTCTAGAGTACCAGGACTATGTTGGTTCTCCCAGATTCCCACCCTTTGGCTCTGTCAATCTCTCAGGATCTTATCCCCTTATCAGTGGACCCAGGGTGTACCCCATTGATGTGTCCACCGGCAGGGACAGAGGAGAATGGAGGAAGCACACCCACTGTCCTGTCCCCGAACTTAAAGGTCCTGGGCCCAAACTGCCCACTTTGAATTAGCAAGAACTGAGACGTGTGACTCCACCTGACTGCAAGGGGGCCAAGGAAATGTGCTCTCAGTCAGGAGCCTACGTAGCCAACTACTGCTTGCTTACTACGGAAAAAGAGGCCAGCATGTTTTCACAGAAAGCCTGCAGTCTCGCTGCAGATGGCACCTCACCTGACAGTGTGGTTGTGAGGATTAAATAAGACAATATGTGTTAAGTGTCCAGCACGTGCCTGGCACAGGATTAGTAATCAATACACGATAGCTCCAGCCTTTGTATTTCTTTCAAATCCTTCCGCCATGGCTAAGTCAAACTCCTTCTTGGGTATTGGTTTCCTCGTCTATAACATGAAGGACTTGAATTTCACCAGGGGTCACAAACTCCTTGACTGGTCCAAATACAGATCACAGATGTCTTCTGTTTGGCCGACACAGATTTTTAAGGTTTTATTTATTTATTTTGAGGCAGGGTCTCGCTCTGTTGCCCAGGCTGGAGTGCAGTGGCGTGATCTTGGCTCACTGCTGCCTCTGCCTCCCAGGTTCAAGTGATTCTTGTGCCGTAACCTCCTGAGAAGCTGAGACTATAGGTGTGCACCACCACGCCCAGCTAAGTTTTGTATTTTTAGTGGAGATGGGGTTTCACCATGTTACACAGGCTGGTCTTGAACTCCTGTCCTCAAGTCATCTGCCCGCCTCCGCCTCCCAAAGTGCTGGGATTACAGGCACAAGCCACTGCACCTGGACGGATTTTTAAGTTTTTAAACTTGGTGGGGCATGTATTCTCCAAGTGCTTTATACTGGGGCGGATTGCATTGCTTTACCCTCTTCATACCACCATAGATATTTATATTTGCTATCTTGGTTTCCAAGTTTACTTTTTGCTTGGATATTTGAAGATTTGACATCTGTAACCCTGTGCCTTGGAAAAAGCCTGACATCTGGCTGGCTGTCTTCCCACCTTCTCAGTTGCCCCCAGCAGATCTGAGTATTTGAATGTGCGCTGATGCTCAGTAGCAGTAGATATTGTCCTCTTATTAAAAGTCGTGTGCTCAGAGCCAATGAAGTGGTGATTTAATCAAAAATGTTTGTTAATCTGACGAGTGCAATAAAACTCCCACGAGTGAGTGATCTCAGCACCTGCAAACAGTCTCCACTTGTAATGAAGCAATTACCAAGCAGGCAGCACTCACCCCTAGGGCTGGCTTGGGCCAGCTGTACAGGCAGTCACCTCCCAGGACAACCAGGGCACCTTCTAGCCTCCCCCTCAAAGTGGTTCCTTTTGAGGTCTTTTTATCCAATTCAGTTGCCACCATATGAGATCTCAGAGTTGGAAAAAACTGTGAGTTTTAGCTTCTGAGAGTTTATTCTTAATAAGAAAATTATAGTTCAAGTGAGAAATCACCCACCCAGTTCTGATTTGAATGTTGTGTGGGAGGAAGGAAAGGTTGAATTTCAGTCTAAACTGATGGGAGGATTTTGGCTGATGTCAAACCTGTTTGTGTTTTTGAATCTCTGATAGTAACGAGTTATTCCTTGGTCATTGCACTTTTCTTTTGTAGCTGGACTGTTCAAGCTGGTGTCTTTATATGTTTCAGTGACCAGTTGGTCATAAGTTAACAGATGTGTGGTATCTTAGCCGATATGATAAAGCACATAACTTGGTTGGATCTGACCCCATTTAGAAAGCTTTTGGCTACAAGTTATAGAAAACTGACCTCAGTGACTTAAGCAAATGGGAGTAGCCTTTTCTCCCTATAAAAATTTGTAGGTAGGTGGCCACTGGCATTGGTTCAAAAGCTCTGCTACGTCAGGGCTGATATTTCTACATTCTTTTTTTTTTATTATACTTTTAAGTTCTGGGGTACATGTGCAGAACATACAGGGTTGTTACATAGGTACACACGTGCCATGGTGGTTCACTGCATCCATCACTGTCATCTACATTAGGTATTTCTCCTAATGCTATCCCTCCCCAATCCCCCCACTCGCTGTTATCCCTCCCCGAGGCACCCCCCCCACAGGCCCCAGTGTGTGGTGTTCCCCTCCCTGTGTCCATGTGTTCTCATTGTTCAACACCCACTTATGAGTGAGAACATGTGGTGTTTGGTTTTCTGTTCTTGTGTCAGTTTGCTGAGAATGATGGTCTCCAGCTTTATTCGTGTTCTTGCAAAGGACATGAACTCATCCTTTTTTATGGCTGCATAGTATTCCATGGTGTATATGTACCACATTTTCTTTATCCAACCTATCATTGATGAGCATTTGGGTTGGTTCCAAGTCTCTGCTATTGTGAA